GAGCCACAGTAGTATATTTTTGCTTTGTGTATTTTGAAGCTGGCATATACATTTAGATTCACATCCTCTTGACAATTTTATTCTTTTACCATTATGAAAATGTAATAAAATGTAGTGGGTTGTTTTGTTTGATTGTTTCTCTAGCACATATATCACCAAATTATGATGTTTCCTTCCAAATATTTTCTTTATACACACACACACATATATACACACATATACATCTGTCTATCTGTGTGTATATATATATATATTTTTTTGAGACAGAGTCTCACTTTGGACACACTCAGACCCTCAGTAGAGTGCTGTGGCATCATAGCTCACAGCAATCTCAAACTCCTGGGTTCAAGTGATACTCTTGCCTCAGCCTCCCAAGTAGCTGAAACTGCAGGCACCTAGCACAATGCTTGCTATTTTTAGAAATAGGGTCTCACTCTTATTCAGGCTGGTCTTGAACTCCTGAGCTCAAGCAAACCACCCACCTAGGATTACAGGTGTGAGCCACTGTACCTGGCCTTTATATATTTTTTCAACATAGTTGAAATTATGTTGTATCTACCAGTTTATATCCTACTAAAAGTTTTCACAATGAAATGTCATCTATATATCATTGTGTGTGTACATACACACAGTTTAAAAAAATAATACAATGAAAACCCACATACCCACACATAGAAATAGAACATTACTGATTACTTTGAAGCCATATGTGCATCCCTCTCTTCCTTCCAGAGTTATCTTTACTTTTGTATTAATAATTCTCTTGTCTTTCTTCACATTTTTCCTGCATATATATGTATTTCTAAACAACATATCCTATTTCCCTCTTCATGGCCCTTAAGTAAAATAATTATACTGCACAGATTTTCCACGACCTTTCCCCTCCATGTCATGTTTTGTGATGTATGTAGGCTGTAATTCATTTCTACTACTGCATAAAGTTCTCTTCAAAGTATATGGATAGATCAGAATCTATCCATTTTCCTACTGACAAACATTTGAACCATTTCCAAATATTTTGCTGTAACAAATAATGGTAGAATGAAGAATTTGAAATGTAGCTTCAGGTGTGCCACCATATGAGATCTTCCAAACTACATAAGGAATGGAAATGCATGCACATCTTCAAAATATTTCACTTTTCTTCGCTTAACTTTGATTCCATTTTTAATGATTCTTCCTAATACTTCTTAGTGATTTTACATTATCTTAAGAAGCATATGCACTAAACCACATCCCTATTCTTGAACATCTAGAATTTGTCCCTATTTGGGGGAACTTTAGACACTACTTTGAAAAAAAAAAAACTGGTGCAGAAATCTCTGCTTTTTAGGCCATTTCCTTATGAAGTATTCCTAGAAGTGAATTTTTTAAATTAAGAGCAATTTACCAATTGTACCAATTTATATTCAGTAGGGAAGTTTTTATTGCTGAAAAACATGAAGTAATAACCATTTAAGGATTTGTTAATCTTCAGGGATTGTGCATCCTTTTGAGACTACGATTAAAGTATGACTCATCCTTCCAGAAAAAAAGACACATAATTGCATTCATAAACAATTATTCTCTGAATAAGAAATGTTGCCCTGCCCATTGAATATGATTTCTTACAATATTTCAACAAGTTCATGTACCAATTCCTATATTGTAAAATAGCTTTTGTTTTAACCGCCATTACTGATTACCCACACATACTACCAATATGCCTGATACCCGAGACAGAAGAATAAATTCTCTGGTTTTGAGGAGTATTATCTACTGGGAAGACATAAACAAGTATTTTTTTTTTTTTTGAGACGGAGCCTCAAGCTATCCCCCTGGGTAGAGTGCCATGGCATCACAGCTCACAGCAACCTCCAACCCCTGGGCTCAAGCGAGTCTCCTGCCTCTGCCTCCCAAGTAGCTGGGATTACAGGCGCCCGCCACAACACCCGGCCATTTTTTGGTTGCAGCCATCATTGTTGTTTGGCGGGCCGGGCTGGGGATTCGAACCTGCCACCCTAGGTGTATGTGGCTGGCGCCTTAGCCGCTTGAGCCACAGGAGCCAAGCCAACAAGTATTTTATAATAAAGGATGTGTGGTAAGAAAGGGATTCATTAAGCAAAATGAAGGTACAAATTAAAGATTGATCAACTTCTCTTTACCAGGGGCTTGCAAAGAATGAACAAATACTCTCAAGGATATTACAGGTAGAGAGAATCATACTAGCAAAGGGGTTACATATGCCCATACAACATGGCGTCTATAGGAAATAATACATGGGACTAATATGGTTCGATTAGAATGGTAATTAAAGGTATGAGACTCTTCCTTACTTGGGTCAGAGATTAGAAAAACAATATTGACATATACAATTTTAGCAATTGGTCTGACAACACAAAGGAAACCACAAAAGAAAATTTCCTCCCAAGAGCTTCCTTTATTACCCAAACCTATTCTTATTACATACAAAGAAAACATTATGGCTCTTTTTTTCTCCAATTGTCTGAAGTGCAGAGTTCAATTCAACATACAAGGTTTAAAACCTACTTATTAATACAAACAACTGACACGGGTTAAATTTAAAATTATCTGATGGCTTTCATTTCATATGCAGAAGCATTTGACAGCCTACACAATCATTGCTATAATAATTTCTTCATAAAATTGCCTTTAAAACTAATTTTTAGGTAAAACTATGATTTTAGCATTGCTTTAAAGGTTGATTTTTCAGCCTGTGATCTCAGGAAAAACATTTTATTTTTAATTTAGTTTAACTTCTTAAATATAACTATGCACAATTGTTACTTTGAAGTTACCGCTATAAATACAATGGAACATGTGGACTTTTTAAAAACATAATGCATGTTATACTTCTATAAAAAATGAATACAACCAGTCTTAATAATCCAATTTAGTGAATGTCCACCAAGTATAGACATTAGTGAATAGACATTCACTAAAACTATGAATACAATAGTATAAGAGTAATGTTTTGATAATATTTCCCCTCAGTGTGGTAAGTTTGTATATATAGTTGCTTTCTCTTGAAACTTTGTGTAGATTTCTGCCATGCTTATTCTGTTCCATTGATACCCAATTCATATACATCATAGACATATAAGGTGTGACTATTAAGTAATAAAACCTGTTTTCATGTGTGATAAGAAAGGAAAAACAGGGTTTTAAAATTTAGACATCAGGCTGGGTGTGGTGGCTCAAGCCTGTAATTCTAACACTCTGGGAGGCTGAGGCAGGAGGATCCCTGGAGCTCAGGAGTTCGAGACCAGCCTGAACAACAGTGAGACCCTATCTCTACAAAAAATAGAAAAATTAGCTGGTCATGTAGTGCACACCTGTGGTCCCATAGGAGGCTGAGGCAGAGGAACTGTTTGAGACTAGGAGTCTGAGGCTGCAGTGAGCTATGATGATGTCGTTGTACTCCGGCCTGGACAACAGAGCAAGACTCTGTCTCAAATAAACAAACAAAATATTAAATGTCAACCAACTGAAGTTGAATAAACCAATTTAAGTTTATAAAGCTTTTATAACAAAAAGATGCCTGAATTTTACAAAATATTGGGGATCTCTTAAGATGGCATCCCATTAAACATCATTTAGCTTTGTCAAAATGGAGGATCTTCAAAGTTTCTTTAAAATAAAAAAAGATGTATTGTCATTACAGGTTATCTAATAAGCACATAGAACACAGTTTCCCTTCTGATTTCCGCTAATGAAATACTTTTATACTTGTGAAAAAGAAATCCAAAGTTTGCAAATTTCCTCTATAAATTTTTGTGGACATTTCGGTGCATTTCACAGGGAATAGGCAAAAGCACGCACACAAGAACATAGGTTAATGTTTTCTTCTCATGTTTTTTTTTTCTTTCATGGGGAATCTTTAAGTGGTATTTTTTTCCCAAGAAGCAAACATTTTTCTAAAGAACTTAAACAAAGTACATGCATGGTCAATAATGAAGGATCCAAAGATTTTCATGAAGTGGGCTGAAAACAAATGATCCTTGGCAAGTATTTAAAGCCAGCTAACTCTGACCACATAAAAAAGTAAAAGAACAAACCTACAATAGGTACAAATTATATACATTTATTTTTTTAATAATTTTAAATAACACTCTTGTATAAATTCTTTCATATATTCAAATCATACACAAATTTAGAAATGCATCATGAAGCCTAGTACAGCATATGTATGAGACACATTTTTAAAATTTATGTTAGAATTTTAGTGACATAAATACAAGTTTAATGTTTCAGAAACATTTCCTAATTGCTTGGGCTAAAATTTAATGTATTACAGAGTGCTTGTTCCTAACATTAAAACTTGACTTTAAATCATGTAGCTTACAGACTAACTTAGATCTGAAGCCCTGGGCTCACGCTCGAGGGCTGCTGCTGCAGTTACTGCATGTGCTTAAGTAACAAGCAAGAACGATTTCCAGTTGCCTCTGAAAAAGCATCATTCAACCACTGACATTTTAATGATCCATAACATTGGATCATTCAACCACTGACATTTTAGTTCATTGGATATTACTTGACTTGTTCAGATGAATCAGTGTATTCTTCCTGCTTTTCCCCTTGGCATAGTCTCTGGCTCAGGGTTAAAGAGAAAAACGCATTAACCTTGCTTTACTCCCCCACATACACCAAACTCATTTTAGCTCCACATTCCTTACTATCAGGAAGATCACAGCATACCAAAGGTTCTTTGTGGATGAGGCCAAAATGCTTTCCTGTTCTAACAGGTTGCACTAGATTGTTTTTTTACTTCTCTGAACTTTTTGTAGAGACCTTTCCTTCCTGTGTGGAAATTCAATGCCTATCCACATACCTTAAAATATACCTTAAAAGTATGACGGATGCTCATTATAAGTGGTGCTATGTTCATCAGGTGTCCTATGAAAAATATAGGACCAAGGTGAATTAGCTAACTAATAATAATAACTCAGTTCTACCTGAAGCTGTCAAGAGGAAGTACTGTTGCTTCAGCTGCTTCCAAAATAGCACAAGGACTAAATATTCTGAAGGTACCCAGCTGACCAAAGTCTGAGCTAGTAGGTCAGTGAGCAATTGTTTCATGGTCAATTTTCCTAGGAATATTGGGACTAGAGAATAGGAATATAATTTGAGGCTTCTACAAATCCTATTTACAAAATTTCTCTCTCCTCTCATCCTATGTCTGTTCTGTTCTCCCAACCGAGGTCTCCCTGGGAAGAGTAATGCACTAGGTCCCACAGGACTTTAGTATAAATGAGGTTTAGTTTTTTATTACTGTTTTTTTTTCTCTATAACTGAAGAAATTCCATTAATAAGAGAGCCCTGTGGGATAGAGGGGGGAGGAAAGGGGAGGAGGCAGTAAGGGAGGACAAAGACATACTTAACACTACCCAGGGCATCCAACTATAAGAAATGCATAAGGGCTTAGTAAAATGAATCATATATAAAGTGATAAAAGTATCACTTAATAGCAGTACCTGTCATTATTCAATAAGACTCACAGCAGTCTTATGTTCTTTAATAATAACACATTTCTAATCTTTAGACAAATCAGGCTTTCTAGACCAATGCTGTCCTGCTGGTTGCCATAGTTCATGGTAATGGTGCCTTAGTGGTTCTCAACCTTCCTAATGCCACAATGTATTTTCATTGTTAAAAAGGGGTCGCGACCCACAGGTTGAGAATCGCTGCTTTAGAGGAATGAATATTGCGCAGTGCATTCCATGCTAGTTTTCTAATCTAATTTCAGTGGTAGATCACTTCATGATTGAATTGTATTTTAAAGCAAAATTATTTCCACAAGCAAAAAGCTGGTGACACTAAAGTATATTATTTAAAATAATTATTAAGATTTGTTTTTCCATCAGGAAAAATTAAGAACACGACCCTAGGAGATGTTAACAAGAATTTTAAGGTAAACATTTTTTTGTGATTCAATTTTTGCAACTTTTAGGTTCTATTTTAAGGAATCTTTATATGGCCAGAATTCTATTTGGCTTTGGCTCTCAAGTTCCAACAAATACTTCTTTTTCTATTGGGTTAACTTGTTTAACTAATATATATTTCTCCCTAACCTCATTCCTGACTTTCTTTTTGGTCAGAGGAGTATCTGGGAGAAAGGCAGGTGTACAACTCTGCCCACTTCCTTAGAATTGCGCAGCCACCTGCAGCAACTACTGGGGAAAGCAAGTTTTCCCTTCCTCCTTGAAGAGGTAAGTTCACTTTAACGAAGCACGCAAACTGGTAGTTTTGTTTTCTTATCACTAATACCTGCTTCAAACAGCAATCTTCCTGTATTCTTTCTAATAAGTCCTTCATAGGTGTATGGCCCTGGATTGCACTTGGTACTTAAAAAAAATTAGAAACATCCACAATAGGACTCTTCCTCCCACACTTCTTGTGTCCATGACTAGGACATTTCTGCATTAGTATATACTTGAAAGAACATGTGCTTTAGAGTTAAGAGTCCTGATTCCAACCCTAATAATGACACTGTGACAATAATGACATTGTGTAGCCTTGAACAAGACAACTACCCCCGCTGTGCCTCAGCTTCCTCATCTATAAAATGGCAACAACAATTTCTTCTTTGGGGGTACGGTGAGGAACAAAGGATATACATGTGAAAAAGTGCTTTGCAAACTACAAAAGGTTACGGAAAAATCACATAATTTTAATACAATGTAATGTAACCTCTACTCTGAGAGCAATGGCCAAATGTGCAGAGTACCTCAGGTCCCCGGAAACCGATTACTTGCCCGTATATCCTCAACACATCTCCAAACCCTGAGAACAATCTAGAGATCTCCTATAAAGAGATGACCAGATTCTTGCCTTTTCTCTAGGGAAGTTAGGCAAAGGGGTCAACTTGTATTTCCTAAGTCTACTCTAATATGAAGTCTTTGCTTTTTTCTAACCACTTCACAGTTTGCTGTTCCTCCTAAATAATATCTATATTTGACTTCTGACCACTTTTTCTGGCTTGTTTAGCCCACAATCTGTCAATATAACAATAAGTGAAAGAAAGCAACAGTAGTTGGCCTCTAGGAAGAAAACTGCATCTAAAAGGACTAATTATACACACTTAACTACAGAGCTACCCTCTAACCAGACAAAAAGATGGGAGAATCATAGCAGGGAGATGGCACATACCTTGTGGCAATGAATGATAGGTCATGTTCAAATGCAGATTTTTTTTATGGGCAGGGAGATACAAATATTTCACAGGCATGAAAACTAGAGATTCCAAGTGGTATAATGGCTTTTCTTTTGGAACTAAAATATTTTTCCTCCTTTGGAAGACTATCTTTTACATTCAGGAAAAAAATTTTTTCAATGACGATATGTTTTATGTTAATGTAAATCTACATAGAGTGGATAGTGTCTAACTAGATGAGTATTTTGGAGAATGCTGCCTGTGTCCCAGCTCAACAATTATTAACTTCAAAATCTATTGCTTGAATCTATAGTAAGTCAAAGAGCACGTAACTCTACTTTTAGACTGAGAAAGGAAAGAAAAATTAGAAACATTCAACCTCTTACAAATTTCAACAGTGTCCAAAGAGGGACTAAAAATGACTGATGCTCACCAGAGTCCCAGCTCTAGTCTAGCAATATTGCCAACTATTTTACAGTATTTTAAGCAATCCCCTTATTTTCTTTTTACAATGCCATTAACTACTGTACAAATAAATTCTAGATGATAAAATATGACATGATTTTTTTTTACAAATAGATACAATGTTGGCCAGATATGCTACATTAATTATGTACACCTTATTTCTCCCCAGGCAGGAATATTCCTTATTTTTAGACAATTTATCATTTACACTGAGACCCTGAGGAGGACCATCAGCTTCCTACTTCCCAGAGCTGCTTTCCTCTACCAAGAGAAGCTTATCCTGTGCTTTAATGTCATCACTGATTAAGAATCCAGGGAGGAAAAAAATCAAGTTCCTCTGAACATCTTGGGACTTTTCTACCTCTATTCTAGAAAGAATCAAGATTTGCTTATTGTGATACAGGCCAGACACCAGCTTTTCTTCAATGATGTCTTTTAGTTCAGTAAAATGAATATAATCTCTGATCCTCTTTTAAAAAGATGTGTTTCAGGAATGGAGATGAAGTCTTTCAGCAGTCCCTTCCCCTCCATCATCTTGTTACCACTGGTTTGGTGAACACTTCCCAGGAGTCCATTTGGAGGTCAAAGTAGATTTGGGATGCACTGTGGGGTCCAGCTTTTCCTTACTTCTATGTGGTACAAAAATATACTTTGCTTCAAGTCCTTTACAACAACAAATGCTTCAGATCCTCATGGGAAAACTAAGAGCAATAGACAGGCTAAGCGCATTACAAATTTGTACCCGAGAATTTCAGATGCACTACTTGTCTTTGCTTTCTCAGCAAACTCTACCCAGGCTTTGTCCAGCCCAGGAACGGACACTAGACTAGTAAGCACTGTGGTTTAACAACCCAGGAGAACAGCTCCAGCCCCTTAGGCTTTGTAGTTGTGTATGGGTGTCGTCAGGGTCAGTTGCCCATTGGGAGCCACTTCGTTGCCATCGTCTTCCAACAATCCTGACACATCTGCATTGGGAATGCTGTCATGGTAACTGCTGAAACTGATATTGTCTTCCTTCAGCTCGATGGTCCAAAAGGGGGCATTGAGTTTCCGGTTCTGGTACTCCCGGTACATATACACAGCCCCCACAAATCCCATTAGCAGCACTACCACAATGATGATGACTGTCAAAATTATGATGTTGAACTGGGTCCATGATACATCCGCTAAAGTTGAAGTGCTGTTTTCAGAAGTGCTTACTGAAAAGATAGTCTGCAGGGCTGTGGGGGTAAATGTACTATTTATAATAGGGGTGGGCACAGATGTGGTCAAAGAGGCATTGGAAACCAAAATGGTAGAACCTTCAGGTGTTGGAACAATAACTTCTGAAAATAAAAACAGAGAATGAAATGTAAAAGATAAAATTATCTAGTTTGAGAAACAAGAAAAGAAATACACATGGGAGTGGAGGTTGATGTGAGATGTTCACATGATAGTCTGCTGTAAGGTAATGCAAGCTAAAAATAACTTTTAAGAAACATAGTGATAAGAATCAAAACCTAGAAAGCTAGAGTGCAATATCTGTGGCTGTTATCTAGGATGTATAATATCTATATTAAAATCTTTGAGAAAATTCCAGTGTTGGAGTTTTCTATTCTTCCTAACTTCAGACAGAGTCATAAAAATTCCTGCAATGGCAGTAAATATATCACTACTGAGTTCTAAGTTCTGTGGTTAAAAGTGACAGGGAGAGACAGTAACCATCTGAACTACAATAAGTCCAACATGTCTGACGGCAGGTCATAAAGGTAAAATTCTTTTTTACCTTTAAAAATAGGAATAGGAAAAACTGTATCTCCAGTTATATCAGAAAGTACAATTTAAATGTCCAACATTGATGTCAAACAAGAAAGAAAATAGTCTGCCTTTAATTCCGTGTGCAGTAATTCTCCTCTTGTATAGATTATGGCTATTTTATAATTAAAGTACTATACTTTGTACTTCTAATATACTTTGTACTTCATTCAGCAGAATGACCAAAAGCTTTGAAATAAAATAGAACTGTGTGGCTGTAGGTAAGTCATCTTTTTAAAGCTGAGGTTCCTCATGTGTAAAATGGGGATAATAACAACAACTTTGCAGAGTTCTTGGAAAGGATTGAGGCAATGTACTATATATATAGCATTATCACATTTAATGCTTGGCACATAATAGGTATTTGATAAAATGATTACCATTGTTATGATAATTATTATTACAATTTACATCAGTTTATCCTAAAAAAAATGGCAAAGTTTTATGTATTACTTTTCTTAATGAGAAAAATTAACTTTCAGCTTAGTATTGACAAAATATGCTTCACAAAATGGGAAGGATGTCTGAGAAAGATCTTTCACTAGTGATAGGGTTCAATTTGGGTCTTTTAGACGTAATCACAAGAGCATAAGGATATTAAGAAAATGGCAGGAAAAGGCCTGGTGTGGTGACCTCAGGGAGGCTGAGTCAGGAGGATCACTTGAGCTCAGGAGTTTGAGACCAGCCCGAGCAAGTTGGAGACCCTATCTCTAACGAAATAGAAAAATTAGCCAGGTATCATGGCAGGCACCTGTAGTACCAGCTACTTGGGAGGCTGAGGCAGAAGGATTCCTTGAATCAAGGGGTTTGAGATTGCTGTGAGCTAAGTTGACACCACAGCACTCTAACCTGGGCAACAGGGTAACACTGTCTCAGAAAAGAAAAAAGAGAGAGAGAGAGAAAGAAAGAAAACAGCAGAAAGATGACACTTGCCACAGGCCAATAGTTCATCAGCCTATGAATGTTAGAATATCAAAGAATATTTGTAGAAAAGCCTACTCTAATCATCTGTGACCTAACAAGTCCTCAATTACCCTAACTCATTCTGAATTTATTATATAGTCATTAATTTTCTTCCTAATCTTTACTAAACTTCCCTGTAAGAACATACTTTGTCATATAAATAACTTTTTCTTTTAAAAAGCAAGCGGATTATTATTGCTATTTCCTCCATCATACATGGGGAAACTTAGGCCCAAAGTTAGAATCGAAGCTAGAATAAACTCTAGTTTCTCAGCTGGAACTTCTAACTAGAAACTACTTGAGAAGACCTTTGTTGATCACTGAAAATGATGAGAATAAAGGAATCAAAGAATAAAAGAAATGATAGGATTCTCAAATTATTAACATAAAAATAAAAATAGATGAAGAGAAAATGTGAGAACACTTTATCTCACTGTTGCAATGACTTTGTCTTGGTCCTCAAATTTCTGTAGTTGACTTTGGAGTATCAGAAGAGCAGCAGGAATGGAAGGAAACCTCTTTAGGCAAATATCTATTAAAATCTATTTCCAGAAACTCCTCTGGTGGGATTGGAAGGTTTTACAAAGCTAAAGGTAGCTGTCCTGAAATTTTCACTTCTAGGTTTAGATATTAAATTTACAACTTTAGGTGAAGTTTTACCTTTCTTGATGCAATTTCCCTCGAGGTCTTGAACATAACCTTCCAGGCAGTTTTCACACCAAAACCCAGTGGTGTTATGGATGCAGTTGATGCACTCACCACTCTCGGGCTTGCAAATCTTTGGATTTTGAGTTGTGTTCACATGGCCATGACATTGGCACTTTTTACAGATGCTGTCAAAATTATAATAGCCATTTTCACATATATTGCAGTTCTGGCCTGTGTAACCTTCTTTACACTGGACACATTCAGGTTCCAACTCACCAAATTCTAAAAGAAAGAACACCAAAATAGTTTAGTACAGTCTGAAGCTACAATTAAAAATCTAAAACTACTTGCCCTTAAGAAGATTTATAGGCCCTTCTTACCAACTCCTCTTAATCTTAAGAGAGTAGACTAGATTAAACTCATAATCTATACCTAATTTATTAATTTTCCAGCTTATTGTAGGAATTATGGGGATATCCAGAGAACCTAATCAGAAAGCAAAAGACATATGCTTACAAAAGGAGTCTGAATCATTATACTGGATTGGCACTCTCATACTTTTTAAATTCCTTCCCTCTCAGACATGACAGACTGAATAAAATCTTCCTCCATTCCTCTCCTACTTAAATGTTGATACTCCCCAGACTTCTATCCTTGGTCTCCATGGGCCACCTTATCCACTGACATGGTCAGCAATTCTAAGGTGTGTATCTCTAGTCCCTACCTCTGTCCTAAATTCCAGACTATATACTAACTGCCTGTTTATCTGGATTCACAAACATCTCAGATTTAACATGCACAACACCATCCTGAACATCTTCCCTTCTAAGTCTTGTCCTTTTTCAATGTTTCCTTTATCTCAGGGGATGGTACCAACATCCTCTCACTTGTCTAAACCAAAAAATGGAGAATCGTCTCTTAATCTTCCATCTACATTTATCCCTTTTGTAAGCAGTTATCACTTGTATCACTTTGTATACCACTTATACCCGATAAAAATCTTTCCAATCCACAGATGTCTCTCTCCATTCCTACTACAATGATCTTTATCATTTCTCATCTAGATTACTGTAGCTACTTCCTAATGGATCTTTTACTACAATGCACCCTACATTCACTTTGAATTTCAAAGCAAATCTTCTCTAGAAGAAGCTCTTCAATGCTTCCATAACTCCTTCAGGATTAAGTAAAAACATAACAGAATTTTCATATCCTCCAGAAGCTGACACCTGATGACTACTCTCAGCTTTTCTGTCTTCACTTCATACTCTACAACCCTCTAAGGTTCAGGCACATGAAATGGCTTCAGAACTTTCTCCTCTGTGAAGTATAAACTACTTCCTCTGCATGGGGCATCCTCTTGCCTCTCTACTCTCACTTCACCTTGTAAATTCAATCTGTAGGAATTAACTCAAGTATCACCTCAGAAGCACAGAAGCTCCTTAATTCCCTCCATTTGGTTAGGGTCAGTCTATACCTACCTGTAATATTATGTTATCCTAAATTGTAATTACTTGATTGCTTATCTCTCTCTCACTAAACTATGACCTACTCAACATTTTTCTTTTTTATCTCTACTGTTTGGCATATGTAGGCAATGGGAACTCATGCCTATCTGCTTCTTTTTAAATTTTTCATTTAAAAATTCTGAATTTTAATTCAGAATTCTCAATTATGTTTAACAAACAATTTTTAATAATCAACAAACCATAATTGTATATAACTGCAAATGGATTAGCTTATTTCTTAGAATTTACTAACTATACTAATAGACTCGTCCTGTTATCTGAATACAGATTAATTTTAATAAAGCAGGGCTACTTTATAGTGGTCATGGAACTTGTGGCAATTAATCACATCTCTGATGTTCTTTATGAAAAATGAATCCCTTTGTCTATTTTACTATTGCTTTTTAAAATGGCTTTCCTTGAGATATAATTCAAATTTTATACCATTTAAAGTATAAAATTCAGTGGTTTTTAATACACCTGTATTCCTGGAGTCATGCAATTAATAAACAATTTTAACTTACCAATTACAATCCCCCTTAGTGTGTCCTCAAGTAAGTTATTAAAGTCTGGGCTTTAGTTTTCCCTCTTTCAAATAAGAGGATTAAACCAGAAAGGTTGCTTTAAATAATAAAAGGTGGCAGCCGACTGAATTCATAATCCATGCAAACAATGATATGCAGAAAAAAATACTCAGCAAAAAGGGATACACTCCTTGTTCTCCAGGAACTTACAGCTCACAATGATACTGTACTTTAAAGCATTTTTGTATTTCAACAACTATGGTAACAAAAAATACGAAAAAAAATCCTGGTGAAATAGATTGAAGGATTGAAATTAAAGTTTGTGAAAGTCTTTTATGTCTGTCTTGTTCAGACCAACTTGACCTCAAGACACAGAGCTTCTGCCTCATGTTTCACTCCTTCTTCCTTATACTTTTTTTTTTAGAGACAGAGTCTCATTTTGTCACACTTGGTAGAGTGCCATGGCGTCACAGCAACTTGCAGCTCCTGGGCTCAAGCAATTTTCTTGCTTCAGTCTCCCAAATAACTGGGACTATAGGCACCTGCAGCAACACCTGGCTATTTTTTTGTTGCAGTTTGGCTGGGACTGGGTCGAACCCACCACCCTTGGTATATGGGGCCGGCACCCTATTCACTGAGCCATAGGCGCTGTCCCCTTATACTTTTGTTTCTGCCCTTCCTTGATCAAATCAGCTGTTTTAATATTTCTGTACCTTTGTTCATATTCATCTCCTTATCTGAAATGTCTCCTGTCTACTTGCTAAATGCTGACTCTCATCGCAAGACTCAGCTTCATATCACATTCTCTCTGAAGCCATGGCTGACATATTCCCAGGCCAGGTAGAGTAACTATTCCCACGTGGTGCATCCACTATACACAGACCAACCTCTGTCTACCACTACACACTATTCACAGTCCAACCACTCTCTACCCTGAGTTATAGTTATCTCCCTTTCTACCCATGGAACATGCATTATTAGCATTGCCCATATGCTGGGAATGAGGATGAAATGGTTAAAATTATAGACACAGTCTTTGCTTTTATTAAATTTACAGTCCTTGGAAAAGGCAAACAAGAATAAAGGATTTGCAGCATGTTACTTCTGTTAGGCATCTTTTCCATAAAGAAGGCTTCTAAATTTTAAATTTATCACATGAAAGTGAATTCATTAAGTTATTCAATAATCATTTACAAAGCAATTACCATAAGTCAAGTCCTGTGTCCAAAAGGATAGTTACTCTAGATATGCTAAGGACTAACATAAATTCTTATTTACAATTCCTATAAAATTCTAAAATCTTAAATTCTTTGACACTAACAGTGTATTAATATGCTAATATTAATTAATATGTTAATAAAACATCCACTACAGAATTTGATATTGTAGAAGCAGATTTAGATGTGAATACATAATCTTCATATTCACGACCCTTTATAGTACTCCTCTTAATTAAAAGGTTAGACACAGAGTTACTATGTGGGCTAGCAATTCCACTCCTAGGTATACACCCAAGTGAAAACCCATGTACACACAAACATATGTATACAAATGTTCACAGCAGCATTATTCATAATAGTTAAAAAGTGGAAACAACTCAAATGCCCATCAGTGGATGAACAGACGAATAAAATGTGGTGTATCCTAGGGGCAGGTTGGAGTGTCCGACCTACTAGGCTGCGTGAAGATTCTGGGAGGACTTTTTTTGTTTCTCCATAATGTTGAATATCACAAAAAAGTATGCACGGACTTTTTTTTTTTTTTTTTGCTAATCAGCTTACTGTGTTGCACAAGACAACTTATTTTTTCAGTGTGAGGCAGAAAAGAAATAATAATGTTCATACAATAAAATATTATTTGGCAAAATCAAGGAATGAAGCATATTGATATGTATCATGACATGGAAGAACTTGAAAATATTATGTTAAATGAAAGAAGCCAGACACAAAAGGCTATAGAGTATCTCTATATATGAAATGTTCAGAACAGGCAAATCCATAGAGAACAAAAGGAGACTAGTGGTTGCGTAAGGCTTCAGGAAAAGAGAATGACTGCTAATGTTTACAGGATTATTTTTTAGTTTTTGGTAGTAGTGGGGTGATGAAAATGTTCTAAATTTGATTGTGATGATGGGTGATGATGGCTGTACAACATTGTGACTGTAAAACACTAAATTTTACATTTTATTTTGTTGTTTATTTATTTATTTATTTTTACTGAGATCAGGATCTTACTCTGTTGCTTAAGCTAGAATGTAGTGGCATCTTCATAGCTCACTGCAACATCAAAGTCCTGGGCTCAAGCAATCCACCTGCCTCAGCCTCCCAAGTAGTATAGACCCAAGTGGGACTGTAGGTGTGTGCCACCATACACAGCTTGTTTTTCTACTTTTTATAGAGACAGGGTCTGGTCTCGAACTTCTGACCTCAAGCAATCCTCCTGCCTTGGCTTTCCAAAGTGCTAGGATTACAGGCATTACTCACTGTTTCCAGCTTGAATTTTATATTTTAAATAAATTATATGGAATGTGAATTATATCTTATAAAGCCATATTTTAAAAGGCAAGGAGGGAGAGAAGAATCTAAACCAGACGTCCTCAGCTAAGGTGCTTCTAAAATAGTACAGAAACTATGTGAAATAATAAATTCTTATTGTTTTAAGCTACTAAACTTTAGGATAGTAGATTATACAGCAATAGATCACTAATATATCAGGAATACATGAAAGTTAACTATATTTGCAAGATTACCATATAGAAACAGTTTGCCAATATCAGGAACAACTAATTAGTAAAATATCTTGAAATAAGTGAGTAAAAGTTGCTCAGTCTAGAAGTCCCTGTATTAACTCCTTATGTTGCTTTTTAGACATTTGAAGTCTCATTCACGTACTTGGATTAGGTTGTAGAGACCTAGAAAGGAAAGCTTTTGCTGCTTTTATAACTTCTTTTGCACTTATGGAATCTAGAACTTTATTCATCAATGTAACTTATACCTATTGATAACTGATTCACTGACTTTTTCCCTTTAAAATGAAGAGTCAGAGAAAGGTCTTACTTATGGTACAATTGCCTGTAGAGGTCACTGCTGAACAAGGGCAGCGCAGACATTCTTTAGTGGCATCAGGACTTTGATAAAATCCTTCTTTACATTCTTCACAGTGATTTCCTTTGCTATTTTCCTGGCAATTTAAACAAGCACCTAAAAGAAGCAAATTATTTTAAAAAGTTAAAAGAACATGAAAAGCAACAGTAGTTTTGAAAAGGACAATGACTATCAAAATTCATTCCTCCAACAAAAGGATAGTAAGAAGAGATAACAATGGGGATGGGATAGAGTTCTTTACTACTCTGTAAACGCTGTAGAGAAAAGCTGAGTACAGGATTAACATTGCAATAAGACTTTGTTGTTTGATTTGACAACATACCAAAGGCCAACTATGTGCAAAGAAAAAATTAAAAACAATAAAAATACCTATTAATAGAAGAACAGATTAAACTGTGGCATTTTCATAAGTGAACTACACCCATTATGCATAAACATACATAAATCTTAAAAACAACACTGGTTGAAAAAGCAAAGGAGAATATGTATTTTATAAAATAAATACTAAGTAAATGGAGACATAATACACTATGTACTAATGATAGATACATATATGGTAAAAATTAAAATGTGAACTGAAGAGTATAGGGGAACTTTATGCTCTGCTTATCCATGGAGGGAAGAAGAAAAACAATACTTGGGAAGAAAACAAAGGGAACTCTAACTTTATATGAAATCTTCTGTTTCTATTTCTGTTGAATTTTCTATCCAAATACATAACTATATATACATACGCATAACTAGGAATCAAAATTCCAAAATGTTAATCTTTGTTAATTCTGGGTGTGAGTACATAGGCATTTGTTATATTCTTCTTCATAGGTTTTTATGTTTACAAATTCAAAGTAAAAATAAAAACAGTAAGGGAAATGAAAAGGAAGGAAGCAAGCACAGTTATGTGTTTTGTAATAATACCCCCTGAAGTCTGTTACTAAGGATGTTCTACAGACACTGCAGTAGCATAACATTTGAAATCAGGTAGTGAGGAAGGACAGTATCATTTATATTCCTTCTTTATGGGGCCATGAAGATTGAAAGGGACACTCAGAACTACTATTACATAAATAAGCAAATAAACTACACAGAAATCTAGGAGAATGATGAAATTTTACAAGATATGCTGGATACAGTTCAATGCTAAAACTGTTCATAAACAGTCTTATTTGATTTCCTTACTAGTAGAAATATTTACAAAAAAGGGAGAGAAAATAAGGCTATGAAATAAAACGGTCTTATAACTGGAGCAAGACTTGGAAAACTAGAAGAGTTTGAAAATGTTATTAATGTACACAAATCTCAATTCCTTTTTTTTTTTAGAGACAGAGTCTCACTTTGTAGTCCTCAGTAGAGTGCCGTGGGGTCACAGCTCACAGCAACCGCCAGCTCTTGGGCTTAGGTGATTCTCTTGCCTCAGCCTCCTGAGTAGCTGGGACCACAGGTGCCCACCAGAACACCCAGCTATCTTTTTTTATGTTGTTGCAGTTTGGCTGGGGATGGGTTCAAACCTGAGACTCTCCATATATGGGGCTGGGCCCTACTCACTGAGCCACAGGAGCCGCCCACAAATCTCGTTTCTTAAATTATTACAGCAGAATTCTCCAAAACGTCATGAACTTATTGGGAAAGACATGTGTAAAAGTTTATTATATAAATACTTGCTTTGAATTAAATCAAACATGCATGTAAATACCATCACTTTACATCACATCATTTTCTAAAGGCTAATAGCATTAGTGATGCTTTTCACATACATAACAAAGTAGTATGTATTCACACAGTGATAGATACTTTAGGTACTGGTTTCTCTCCAGATCTTATATTTTAATCCCTCTTTAGCTATGTACCTTTGTGACAATAAAAAGAGTTGAAATATATATCCTAGGAAACAATGGATTTTAGCTCTAAAAACAATTTTATACATCAAATTGTTCTGCAGGTTGGAAAAGTTAAAATTTACATTATGTGTAAAGTGTGTCTACCTGCTCTCCTCTGATTAAAAATGTTCATTGGAGGGTGGCACCTATGGCTCAAAAGGGTAGGGCACTGGGCCCATATGCTGGAGGTGGCAGGTTCAAACCCAGCCCTGGCCAAAAAAAAAAAGAAAAAAAGTTCAATGGAAAGAATTTTTAAGAGAAAAAGTTCTGATAAAAATACCTCAAAAAGCTACCAGTTCCATAACAAAATTTTGATGTTTGGGGTAAGAGGCATTCTAATAATAATTCTTTTGTGTGTGACTGATAAGACTAACTCGAGTTAGATGCTCCATGAAAAGCAAAAGAATGTGAACAAAAGAATAAAAAGAAAGTACGTCATCTTAACATCCAACTTACAACCATTCTCGGGAGCGCACAGGGGTAGTTCTAACAGTGACTAATCCAGCACCACCAGGGCAGGCCTTGCATGCATTTGTTGCTCTCCTTTTCCACAATGCAATGTATACATACCTTAATACTTTGCTCCTACAATGCTACTAGGCCTACCTGATTATTATCTGGGGCCTTTTTACCATTCTAGATAAGTCTCCAAGCCTTTTACTATCCCAGTATAATTTCACTCTCTTAAACTACCCACGATTAAATATAAATTTTTTCTAGAAGAGTTTTTTATTTCTATTTATGCCATAGCCTGAAATGAGAGATGTCAACGAGTGAAAAATAACCCTATAGAGTGAAAATGCTATCTCAAAAGTAAAAGTGAAAGCAAGTGTAAGAATGAAACTCATCGGTTCTTAAATACTCATTCCTCCGCACATTACTTTAAGATAGTAGACACCTGGGAGAAGGAAGAGCAGAGGGAGGGAAAGAGGAAGGGGGATAGGGTCTCTGTGTGTGACACACCTTTTGGGGGCAAGACACAATTAATTATAAGAGGGACTTTACCTAACAAATGCAATCAGTGTAACCTGGTTTCTTGTACCCCCAATGAATCCCCAACAATAAAAAAAAAAAGAGATAGTAGACACCTGAAGCACAGGTATATAGAGAGAAAGTTAATAAATTAAAGACAGGCCAGATATAAATATAACTGGAAAGTTAATAATTGTTGTGAGGGACAATAGTCCTGTCAGTGCCTTTTTTCTCTCCTTCTAATTTTCAAATTGTCTCTAGTATGTATGCATCGCTTTTATTTTTATTAATATGTTGTTTTTCTCTGATCGTAAAATAACACATTGTAAAATATGTCACAAGCACATCATAAAATACTTCAAGAACTGAAGCAATTTTAAAACACTTAAAGTAGAAACTTGAAGTGACTGACTTTTATAATGAAAATAAAGGCTAGGCTTGGCGCCTGTGGCTCAAGCAGCTAAGGCGCCAGCCACATACACCTAAGGTGGCGGGTTCGAATCCCCAGCCCGGGCCCGCCGAACAACAATGATGGCTGCAACCAAAAAAAAAAAAAAAAAAATAAAGGCTATTCCCTTTAAAATCCATACACAGTAGGAACTAATCATGAGGTTTTGTTTTCCTAATAGCTTACAACTCCTCTCAGGAGCAACATAGTATAAAAAAGTGGTATGAGATTTAATGCCAAATTTGTGTTCCTTCCCAGCAAAATCTCTCACCTGCTATGGACCTTAAGCAAATAGCTTCTCTGAATTTCACTTTTCTTTTCTTTTTTTTTTTCCTGAGCCTAATTAGACAGAGAATAAATCTGACATTTATTTTCTTCAGTTTACTTTATTACCTTGCCACAACTGAATACAAAAGAAGAAAATGTACCCCCAAATGGCCAACTGGTTTCTCCTAATTCTCAGAAAGATACGAAGTGAAGTATTTTAAGTCAAGTATTAAGAATGAACATAAGAACACAAAATATAACTAAAGAATACTAACTGGAGTTAGATGCTGCATGAAAAGCAAAAGAATGTGAACAAAAGAATAAAAAGAAAGTACGTCATCTTAACATCCAACTTACAACCATTCTGGGGAGCGCACAGGGGTAGTTCTAACAGTGACTAATCCAGCACCACCAGGGCAGGCCTTGCATGCATTTGATGTGGCTAAATCATACCAAACTAAACGTGTTCCCTGGCCATCTGCCCTACTGAGAAGGCCATGTGCCAGTCATCACTGTTCATTAGAGGGAAAGAGCCTACATGACAATGTTCTGCCCTCAGGGAAAAATGTTTTAAACACTTGATTTTAGATCTGAGCACTTTTAAGGTATGAGATAATTTTCATTTTTCTGATTTGCAAAATGGGATAATAATTCTTTGGCTAAGGGTTTCATAAAAATAAACTATTTAAAAGGGTGAAAGGCTATTCCATAGGATGTATTTTCTCTTTATGCCCTAATTTCTTCATTCATAAATTTAAAAAGCGAACCTAGAAGAAATCTAAGTTTTCTTTAAATGTAAAAT